CCTGCCGCTCCTTCCCCCTCCCGCCGGTGCGAGGGGCGGGGCGGCGACGGCGCGTGCACGGGCGGGTGCCCGCGCGCCCCCCCTAACGGCTGCCCCGCGCGGCGCTGTGAGGAGAGGCGCCCGCACCGCCCCCATGGCGCCGCCCCCAGCGCGGCCCGCAGAGCTCCCCCTGAGGTGGGAACGGCGACCACCGCCACAGGGCGGAGAGCGCGACCCCCCGTCCCGCCCCTGGCGCGCACAGACGGCGGTGGACGCGCTCCGGGGCAGGCAGCGTCGCCTTTATTGCAACAGGGTAAGGTGTCACCGTGCCAGTACCTCAGCAGCCGCCCATCTGCTGGGCAGGGGCACGGCTGGTATATGCTTCAGCAGTCTCAAACCACCTCTTCTCTACAGCTTCCTGGCCCACCTCAAACATTGTCATTAAGTGTTTCCATCCGGTTTTGGCCGTGATCATGAGGTATTCCTTGTTCTCTGGGTACAGCAGAGCCGTGTGGGCTGCTATGACGAGGGACTGGGAAAACCTCCCGCTCACCAAGAGGAAGAGGGCACCTCTCTCCTCCTCTGTGAGGGGCACCACACTTTCAAACCCTGCCAGAACATGCCCTCCCACGCTCAGGGGATCTGTGCTCTCAATCATCATGTACATGATAGCTATTGCGACTTCAAATACATAGTACCCATAACTCATGTCACCAAAATCCAGGATGCCCGACACTCTGTACTGAGGATTCTCCAGGGAAGCAGAACTGGAGTCGACTAGAATGTTGTGGTCGTTTAGATCTCCATGATTGATACCTAAGCACAGAAGAAACAGAAACAGTATTTAACAATTACTGAACAGCAAAAATCTAACTTTCTTTTTTCCCATTTCTCAGTGAAACAGCTTTGAAAAGATGCACAGGGGCTCAAACTAACACTCAACTACCAAACCATACTAGTCTCCTTCAGCACCAACCGTTGCCTTTCACTACCCTTCCGCTTCCTCAGAACCTCACTCCACTAACAACCGACCAGAGAGCAATTAATAAAGGGAGAATCTGAGATCTTATCCTGGGCTGGTACTACCCGTGATAGGCTACATGTTTTCCCAACACAGAATAGCAGCTTTCAAATGATCAAATTATCATCAACATCAATGTGTGTGAGGTGAATTTGAGAAATATGATGAAATAGTTATTTGGGCCTCTATGAAAGGAAGCAGCGCACTCTGTATATTCTTATTAAGCTGACATAACAGCATGAAAATCATCACCTTAACAGAAGCAAACTCATCAGAAAGATCAAGAACTGAACCTGACTCTGGACAGCACACTCCTCCTGGCTGATTCTGTCCTGTGTTCATTCAACACAATATTTGCACATGTCTAGCTAGGAATAAAGGAGACTTTTTTTTTTCCTTTTCTTTTTTGCCTTCTCCACAGACCCAAACTCCTGTAAGAAATGTCAGTGTCTCAGTTCAACATAATTACAATGAGAATAAAATACTCACAGGCTCGAAAACTGCTTAGCTTGGGTATGACTTTCCCTTTGAACTGCTCAATGACTTGTTCCACAACTTCACGGTATTTGTTCTGGCCCAAGGCATAAATGTACTGATCTAGAAGGGGAACGTTTGCCAGGTTCCAAATGAACTGACCTCGATGCAGGCTTTTTACTGATGGATGATGGAATTTCTTTGGAAAAAGCACAAGGTAAAATAGGCCATAAGTAAAAATCCTGGTTTCATGATTAAAGGGCTGGATTCAAAGCCCCTATTAACTTTAACAGGTTCCTAATGAGACTCATTGACTATTGCTTTATATCAACGAGAAAAACCTGAAGAACAATTAAGGCAAGCATCTTGGTATCTACATACAACCAGAACGTTTTTTTCCCCATTCTTTATGTAAAAAGATTATCTTAAGTCATTCATCACTTTAATAATATTAAATTGCTACTGAATTTCTGTAACATGCCATTATGTAGTGCCTTTGAGGCCTTGCCAGAGTCCCCCACTGGCAGAGACTGGACTGCAGAGCTATAGAAAGCTGTCGGAGCAGGAGAGACACAAAACCTGCCTGGAACAGGCACACTCTCTGCTTTTAAAGGTGGCAGTTTCAGGGGTCAAGCCTTAGGATTATTTGGTACATGAAAAGCCCTGAGGACAGAAGTACTTTATGGAGATACTGGTCAGAGTACTGCCATCAGGAAACTTCATACCTTAGGTATTCTTTTCAGTGTGAATGATACTTTGAAGTTTTGACAGTAATGATTGTAATTTTCTTTCTTTTAAGTGACAAACCTCGGTAGATGATAATCCATATATTAAGGGCATAAGGAGCCTATTCCATCAAAATTTGCTTTCTCATCAATGCTTTCCTCCCCAGCAGGGCAAGTCACAGGCGTATTTTAAGACTAGCTGGTCTCTATAAATTGTTTTAATCGCATTATAAGAGCATGACCAGTGTTAGAAAGCAACAGTAAATAATCTTCCCCAATTGAAAAATGGTCTTGTAATTTAAGAATGTGGTTAGTAAAGCTGGCAATTCACCTTTCATAACTGTCCGAAGGCAGTAGCCAGAACATTGAGAAGGAAAGGTTAATGAAAGGCAATAAATAATGCAAGAGTTCTTTTATGTATCAAACTTAATTACTGGATGATTTATCAGCTTTATTACCCTGTATAATTACAAAGTAAAGAAAGAACTGTGACTTTGCATTAAGATTATTTGACTGGAAGGGCTGCAAATGAGAGAAGTGTCACAAATCTCTGTTCATTAGCACAGCTGGCATTGTAGGGCAGGAACCAACTGCTACCAATGTTAAATGGTCACAGCTCTAATGACCAGGAGAAAGAGAACAAATCAAAATGAATTCAAAATAACAGCTCAGCCAGCTGTGCCTGATGCGCATTACTCAAAAATGTTTTAAAACAAGCTTTACATTTGGGCAGCCTAGTGTTCACTCTCCTTATTTGCTGGGTCTGAAACACCAAACAGGTGAGTTTTGCCTAAGCAAAAAGAAATCCTTCTCTCCCTGTTCATGGTACAAACGTGCATTGCAAAAGGATCACCAGTACCAAGCTATAAGCACCAACTATTATATATATATATATATAAAAAATATATAATATATATATATCAATGTTACTTGGGGAAATGCTTTAGTAACGGGCAGCTCGGAGGTTGGCACCTGGAAGATGAGTTAAAATGACTTCTCCCTTCACCAATCTAAATTTTGCAGGCCAGGAAAGCAGACGGCAACCATGAGAAGAAATACTGAGGAGAAGTGATTCGAGAAAGAAGTTTGCAAGGCCAAGAGCAACGAAAACTCACCTCTGAGAGGGCTTTATCCAGGCCGGCAGCCAGCTTACCGATCTCGTACAGAATCTGCGCATTCGCAGCAATTTTTGCTACGGGCACACCTGGCAGGTAAGTCAGCAGCCTGACCATGTACTTTTTGTTCCCAGGTCCAGTACCTAACAAGCAAAGAGAGAAGCAGTCTTTTCGATCCGCGCTACTGAGTTTTGGTTATTGAAAGAAGCAAAAAAGGTTTATCCCGGTGTAGAAGTCATCAGATGTAGCCGATAAAACAGATTTCATTCAAAGATTTGATTTACCAGAATGTTGTAGGATGATGTGCAAACCTTAGCACACTTGCAACCTATGCTGGATGTCTAGTCCTTGTGCTTGGGACTGACCCTGCGTACAGCGGGTCCCCTCCAGTGCCCACAGGCACCGGTTTTGCACCAGAACAGTTATTCTCAGGAATCCCAGCTTTTGTACAGGAGTTACAGTGAAAATACAAGTAAAACATCAACACAGTCTTTCTTCCAAGCACCGTTAAAGCAATCTGCTCTGGCATCATAGATGGGCTAAAACTGTATTTTACACCATTCTGTAGGCAAATAATTTGTAACATCATTGAGTCAATGAGGCTTTTTTTCCCCTTCCTTGTGCACGGACAGGTCAGATCAATGTCTTCTCCAATTCATTACACTGAAGTTATTTCCTAAGTGTTTTCAATGGTTAATTATTACTCTCTTCGACTTGCTTTGCTTCTAGTGCTTTAAGTTTGGACTAGTAAGGCTAGATATACAGGTCACCTGATATGCATCCCTTAATATTTACACATAAGCCTAGTGTTTTACTTCAGTGTATATATACAGCCTACCATATAGCAAGCTGAGGGTGGTCACAGAGCAGCAAAGGTGCTGGGAATGGCTCACCTCCTGACTCCAGAGACATGATGTTACCATCTTTTGTAAGATAAGGCGTAGCTGAAGGAAAGCCTTCAGCGCTGAGAAACATCATGGCCTGGGTCTGCACTTCAATCAGGTCAGGCTCCTGGCTGTCTTCCGAGTTGGTGATTTTGAGGACATACTCGTCAGCACCTTCAGCCCCACCTTTGTTTCTTGAGACACGCACGTGGAAATTCTGATCATCGTAGCTGGGGAGCGGCCTGATCCAAGACACCTGTAATCCAAACACCCTGTCAACCAACTCCATCACTTCTTTTTCACCCAGTGCCGGTTTGGTCAACGTCTGGGGTTTACAGTCATTTCCGGAAGACGTCATGTCTCTAGGAGAAAAGGAGAAGGTGGATGATCTTATCTGCTTTCTGTCATCAGAAGCAGTAATTACTGCAACAAAATGCATTCAGGTACTGGAGAGGAGTTTCCTACGCTTATTAAACAACAAAAAAAACCACTAAGCCAATCCAGGTTTCTTGCATCACATCTTCTTGCCAGCTACTTAAATCTGTAGCCCCCACCCACCCCATGAGAGTTGTGATGCATTCAATCTGTTCAGAACAACTAGACATGAACAGCTTATCAGCTAGGAGTATTTTTATTAACTAATTTCCAGTAGCAGCCTAACCTGGTATGTTGCCAACAAGGAATGATTTCCTAAGGAAGAGAGCTGCTGACTCCCTGGTCCAGGAAGTTTTTAATTCACGTCTGCAAAAGACAAGAACATTTTAGTCGACCTTAAAGCAGATGGGCTCTCCAGCCTTCCCCCTTCGGGAGACGCAGAACACACCTAGAGCCTCTCGCCCGTCCCTTGCCCGCTCCGGGTCTGGAAGCCCCGAGCCGCGGCCCCCGCTCTGCGCAGAGGAGCGACCCTTGGACTCCGCGGGCGCCGCGACACCTTTGTCCCGCCGGGGCTCCCGGGGGCAGCCGCCTGTTGGGGTCCCCGCCGGCCGCTCCGCCTCACGGCCGCGGCCTCTGTCCCCGGCTGCCGGGGGACGGCGGGGAGGCCGCCGCAGCGGGCCCACGCACCCGCA